TTTGAAGTTATTTTAAATATTTTTTTATAAATATCATTTTTGAGATATAATCTTTTTTAAAAAAATACGATTTTGATTATATTTTGTATTTAATAATATATATTTATGTTGTATGATATTAAAATAAATCTTACAATTTAGAAAAAATAAATATAAAAAAATTTGTAATATTTTAAATAACGATTTTACAAAATTCAATTTTAAAAATTAAAACAAACATGTCTATAGATTGATCTTCAAATACATTCTTAAAATTTTTTTAAATAGTCTCAAATTTAATTTTAAAAATTGTATTCCTAATTCTTGTAATTTGATACTTATTCTTCAACTAACAAGCAATTATAATATTAGACGGTTGATTATTTGTGAGAACAAGGTGAAGAAATTAAGTAGTACTAACAAAAATGATAACAACAAGAAGAAAAGAAGAAAGAGAAAGACCAAAAACTTATTCCATGAATTGGGTCAACTCAAACTCATAGTGACGTCAACTCTATAATTCAACTTCTTACCAAAGTTGAGTTAGAAATTCAACTTCTAAGATAGAAACAAAAATAGATGGATGAAAATTTTCATTTTTTAAAATAGAAACAAAAATATATTGAAGTATATACTTTATATAAAGTGCTCAAAATTCATAGATATATTTTTAGTTTTTTTTAAATATGATCTTTGTATATACTATCAATGATGAAATATAAAATAAAATATATTTATAAATTGTTCGTGTTTGAAGAAAAAAATTTGTCAAGAAAGTCATGCTATTAATGGATGAAAAAAAGGTAGAAATTCTTTTTTGATTTGTGTCGAAGAAGTTTGACTTTGAATCCGGTTAATATGAATGTGAGACTTTCACGTAATACATTAATCATAGTAATAATTTTTTTTTGTAATATGCATAAATTATAGCATAGACTGATAGAAACTTATATATAAGGATGGAAAGAGTAATTGGATTAATTGTTTGTTAGGTTTTAATCTCTTAAAAATGTGGGAACTAAGAGTATTTATGGCACTGTTGAAATTGATTTAAAAAAAATCACATTATCCAAAAATAAAGTTATGTGTGGTTTGGTTTTTGTTGAGAATAACAAGTCTGAGAGTTGCGGGAAAGTCTTACATAGGTTAAAAATATAGAGATTTGAATATTTATAAGTGGGAGAATTTATACACCTATCACCTTAAAATTTTTGGTGAGTATGTGATGCGTCTCTCACAAAAGTGTGTTGCTCTTAAAAGGAAAAATCAAAATTAAAAATGTTCTCTCATGTTAGACCCCTGATTTGTAGCCTCAACAATGGTATCATGAGCCTTTGATTCGAGCGAAGAGATCAATTCACTTGTATCAAAAGTATCTTCACACGGTTGTGGGTAGAGATTCCTGTTGAAGAGATAATAACAAGTGTGAGTACTATGGGGAAGTCTCACATTGGTTAGAAAATTTTGAGACTTGAGCATTTATAAGTTAGAGAACCCACACATCTATTACTTTAAGGTTTTGGGTGAGTATGTGGTGTGTTTCTCACAGATATGTGTTGCTCTTAAACAAAAAAACTCCAAATTCAAAATACTCCCTCATGTTGACTCCCAGAACTGATCCCAACATGTTTGATTTAGATAATTCATATAAAAAATGATGAAATTAAATGCAGTTTAATTTAGATTAATTAAATATTTAAATTATAATTATAAAATAACTTATTTAAAATTAATATTACTTGATATTACTGAGATTTGAGATGCTCACCAGCGAAAAAGTAAGTCTAAATATGATAGTCAAACCTTGAATGTCAATGATGTCTTGAGATTTCGGTTCAGCGTCAGAAGTACCTATAAAACACTTTGATCACATGTTAGTGATTATCAAAAGCGTGAGCTATTTTATAGTATGAAAGTGTGTATTTCCATGTGACATGATGAATTTATTTGTCGAGGTTATTCATCTTGATGATGATTAATCAATTTGTAATAAAGAAATTCCCACCCAACGGATACCATTTTATCTTCCCTTGATCTAAGTTTTGGTTTTTAGTAAAGGGTAGAACGTTATGGAAGACCATTTTTTTAGATACTCTGTTAAACTGATTTTGGACACATAGGGATTACTGACTCTTAGCCTATGTGTTGGACCTAGTGCAATTATTCTACTTACATTGGTTAAATAGGAATATGAGACCCCGAATAGTGGCATAGGGAATTAACGTTTTGTACATCGCCTAATCCTGCTTACGCTGGTGGACTAGGAATATGAAACTCTGAGTGGCGATTAGTGAGTTATTTCGTGAAGGGCCAGCTATATCGACTTTGTTAATTTGCCGTGAGATTATAGGGATAAGATCATTCATGCAAGGCATCATACATCAACAAGAGAGAATAAGGAGATTCGATACACAACCTGACCATCTTAGTATTTATGTTTAAAACTCTTATTTTGTTTTTCGTTTTGCAATCTGAAAACCCATCCATTTACTATTTTCTTTTATATTTCTCAATTATTATCTTTTTCAAACACAATCCCTATGAATTCGATTTTTTATTACCGCGACACTATTGTTACACTTGTCGAGAAGTCATTAGTAGGATATTAAGTCCTTAGTCGTTAGGTTCAATATTTCCAAAAGGTTGGTGTACATGATGTCACATGTGATTCCTTGGTCGATTAGGATCCCACAGACGTCATAGTTGCCATTATGACCCTGACCAATATTAGAACATGGAAGTTAGGTGTTTTTTTTAATAACTCTATGTTGTAAAATGAGATTGACAACAAACATTTCTTCGATGGCTTCTGATCTTGTTTTTTCTAATGCAACATTATTTCTCTCTTCTTATTTTTTATTGAATTATAGAAGATTCCCTCTTACTTGGAAAAACCTCGTGACACTACTCTTGTAGTTTTCCTCCAATTCCATTTTGATTTTTTTGCTTTATATGTAACTTTTCTTTGTTTGCGCCTCATTATCGTTTACGTTTCCCATCTGGTATTGATGGGTAGGTATTTCTAAGATTGGAATGTTTCTCCCTCGAAGTTGATATGAATTAGGAGATTTTCTCACTCGGTAAAAGTTCATCCATCTACGGTGTACGACACTGGAAGTTATTTATATTTTTCATTGTCGTATTATTTCTCTTCCTTAGCTACCTGGGACACTTCGCCTCTTTTCTTCTACGGTATCCATCTTTGGACCACATGTCCATTGGTCTAATTTCCCTTGTCTTGATTATCAAATCTTAATAATTTTGTTTCTCTAGAAAATCTTCAAATGTGTCCTTTAGTTGCACAAATTCCTTGGTGTTGTGTTCGTTAATCCTATGGAAACAATAATATCTAGATTTGTCAATTCAAGGAATTTTCCCATATCTGTTTGGGAATCTCCACTTCTTTTTTTGGAAATTCAATTTATGCACTATTGTTAAATGAGATCCTTAAAAGTATTCAGAGGTGTGTAATCTCGATACTTAGAAGTGGTAACTTTTTTCTTTATTTTCTTAGTCAAATCGATTATCCTTCTTTTTCTCCTATTTGCTCTTTTGTTTTATGTCACCCCTTGGTTATTCAGTTATTATCTTTCTTATCTTGACCTGTTTTGGTTCCTCCTCCATAAATTGCCTTACTTCTTACAAACATTTCTTCATATTATATATATTTTTCTTCTTTTGCTAGTTGGTTATTGTTATAGGTTTAAAGAGTCCTGATTTTGATGCTTTCTGTGAACTTATATTCAAGTTGAAGTCCAAGACTTAGCAGATATTTCTGCATCTCGTTGTCGTCACTTTTAACCAAAATGGCCTCTCTACCAACCCTTTTGATGTATGATTGCAAAGATTTGTCCTTTTTCTACTTTATTGAGGCTAAGCTATCGACTAATTTTGGTTGTCCTTGTGATCGCCACAAAATGATTAGTGAGCCGCGTGCGCAGTTCACCCCATGTGCCAATGGATACATTTCTTAGACCCTAAAACCATGTTGCGGCGTTGGCCTTCAAGGTGAGAATGAAAAACTTACACTTCTTCGGAACTTTTACCCCTTTGAAGTTCAAAAGGATATTTACGGGTCTCGCGTGCTCATTTGAATTTGTTGTTCTATCATATGTACCTTAATGTGACATCTTACTTCAATTTTTTTATAAAGGTTCTAGAATTTCATAGAGGTGAAATCTTTGATGCATGGCAACTATCCAAGAGAATGACAGATGTTGGAAGATAATTTATTCTGTGATCTGAACGATCATGCTCAAAGCATTTGCATTTATCAAATATCCTTCTAAAACATGTCCATTTTGGCTCCCGCGTTCCTAAAACTGTCTAGATTAATGCTAAAAAAGTAATTTCATAATAATGATAAATTTTTAATTTGATGGTCCGTAATCTCTTTCAAATATTTGATGTTTTAGAAATTTTTATATTTAAATTAAACGACGACTATCTTATATCTTAAAACTAAATTAGAACATATTTTTTAATGACATATTATATTTAAAACATATAAAAAAAATCTGAACAGTTTCACAAAAACACATTCAAATACATAATTTTATGAAAATTTTAAGATCATTTTACTATTCCATTCTACATCCATTGAAATTTTGAATACTTCTACTCATCTAATGTGAATACAAAATATCCACCCCCTTGTCTTTGTGTCTACTCAAATATTTTCTCTCCTCAAACTCTTTTGGCGTATTCCCATTTTAGTTATCATAGTACGCCACCCGTTAGATTACCGACAAAAGTGGTCCCCACACACAACGTTTATCAAACGGTCACATATAACAATAATTAAAATCAAGAGACCATTCGAATTCATTATTACATTAAAAAAAAGAAAAAAACTATATTATATCATTCAACTTTATGAGTTCATTCATCTTCATAGAACCAACCACGTAGTTTCTTAGTTGGTCTCTTCGAAATAGAACTCACACACACAACACGTATCCTCAAAACACGCTACACGCCAATTACACTACAAAAATCAACAAGGGTTCAGAAGTTCTGTAATGGCAGAAGCTGAAGCGCCTTGTTCATTCTCTTGGCGTAAGATGAAGATTATGGAATATTCTTATGATGATTCGAATATTAACGAGTGTGATGTGGATGCGGCACAGAAGCTCATGGAACTAAGCGATGAAGAGAAGAGCAAGAGAAAGAACAAGAGGTTTAGAAGGTGGAGTGAAGTGGAAGAAAAGCATGACGATATTGTAATGGCAAAGATACAAGAGATATTTGGAAAAGATGTTGAGGTTTTTCCTATGGTGAAGAAGCAAAGGAGATATCGTTCTCTTGTGAATATTTACATGTCTACAACACCTGTTACTGATACAAGGGTGAGTGCTTAAGAATGAGACTAAGAATGTAGGTAGTTTTTTTTTATTTTAATAATTATGAATTTTGGAAGTGTTTTTTCTCATGAAAAAATTGGAAGTTGATGGATATTGTATGTTGGTGGTTGACACTTGAGATGGTTGATTATTGTATATGATTTTATTACTTGAAATAATCTGGTAAGTTTGCCTTGATCCCATCAAGTTTTTGCATCGGTGTGGGGTATTCAAAATTTTCAGTATCAACTAGCTTGTTGTGTTATTAGTATGCTTGAATATCACCTTCTTGTTTACTTCTTATTTGTATTCTTACTTTCTTGATTTTTACAATCTCTCTATCTTATCTTTGTGTATGTGTATGTGAGGTAAATCACCTATTTTTTAAAAGTAAAAAAAAATAACACTAATTCATAAGCTCAACGGTATTGAACATCCAAACCATTTTAAATTTATTATGATATCCTAATGATCTAACACTAATAATTTAAAAAATTTCTTTTATTCTTTCATTAAACAGAATATCATTTCTAATTAAGAAACAATTCTTTTTAACCTTCCTTTATATTTCGAAATCAAGAAACAACAAATGTTTAGAAATGTTAAAAGGTAAGCTAGAAAAAGACATGGTCATCCAAGCCAACATCTTGCTCCAAACCTTCCGAGCAATTGAACAATTGAGAAAAGAGAATTTCTTAATGCACTCTATAGGTTATTTACACACCACGCAAAATACTAAAATGCTCTTAGATTCTGGAGATGTATTTTCGGACGCACCGAATTCTGATTCAACGTTAAAATATTTTAGAGATGCATCTTCGTAACAATTTAAAATGCATATCGTGCATCGCACTCAGAAGTCATTATATGGTACCGGAGAGGCATCTCCGTTAATTTCATGTATATACATCTCCGTAAGGTATCAGAACAAAATGTTACGCATTATGTTTTGTTTTTCTGTATTCATATGAAGATTTAAACCATACAATCGATATGCAAAAATGAATTATATAAATCCAAGTGGTCCAAAAATGTCATATATAAATAAAAGACCAATAAATGTCAAAAAAGTTGAGAACAACGATAAAGTAGCATGATGTCAAAATAAAATACAATCCATAGAACTATTATTATATACTAACGTATTACTGTGTATGTTGGAATACATCTCCTCTGACTCCTCTAGATCCTCAACCATCAATCCCACGCCCTTTGGCATTGTCTTCGATACATCAATGTCCTTCATGCCTCCGTCATGATGGAATCTAGGAACTGCCTCACATTAGACCTATCAGAGAAGATACCTCTGTCAATGTCTGTCTGCGCCATCTCCACTATGCAACGACATTTTGGCAAAACATCCTCAACATGATTTAACTGTGCTTGCTCCTCCTATAGTTTCTCCTGATGATCTGGCCTCGGCGGATCTCTTGAGCAGCATGACCCATGTACCGATGTGACACCCTGAAGAACCATCTGATATACCCATCAACGTAGCTCCATTCACTCACAACTATGGTACTATGTGCCTCCTCCAGTAACAGATGACTCATAATCATAAAAAATAGAATGGATCTGCCTACGTGTCAAAGTAGGAAGAGCAGCAACAACAGGGTGTTTGGAAATGGTCTGAGTGTAGTCAAACTGTCGCATGATGCGCTCAGGAAGATGAGGAGCATTTAGACATGAAATACGTCTCATACGGGAAGAAGATGGAGAAGCACGATCCGCAGAAGTAAATGGCTCAACATGACTAAAGGGACCAAGAGCCTCTGGAACCTACTGACTCTTCTCCCACCATGGTGATGCATATTGTGCAACCCTCTTATGTCTCAGTCTATCGTGTCTATCAGTCATTATGGCTGTAAGTTAAAGTAAAACAAACAATTAGTGTAAGCAAACAACACTACAAGCAAGAAAATAAAATAAAAAAATAATTGAGAAAATTCTGTAGATACATCTCCGGTTGTTGGGAAACTAAAACGTTGAAAAATTCTAGAGATGCATCTCCGGTTGCTGGGAAACTAAAACGTTGAAAAATTTCGGAGATGCATCTTCGGAATTTTTTGCAACTAAAATTGCGACAATGGAGCTAATGTACACATGCAATCACAAAAAATAATGCTTTCGTCATCCTTTTCAGCCAACAACCATGTTTACGATATGTCTAAACTATCATACATGCAATTTCTACTCATTTCTAACCTTAATCATCAATTTCTACTCATATACACAAAAACTCAAAAACTTGTCAAAACATCAAAAAATTTACAAATTTCAACTTGGCTTTAGTGCTGGATGATGTTTTCGATGTTGATTGAAGTTCCCTTGAGCTTTGTTATTTAATTTTGGACTTGGTGATGAGAAAAAATTTGAGAGAGTTTGAAGAGGTTTTGAGAAATATGAGAAATGAGGAAGAAGAAAGGTTCTGGCGCGATTTAATCTCCAAAATATTCCGATGATGCATCTCCAAAATATTTTAACGTTAACTGATACTTAGATGCATCTCCGAAATCTAGGGGCATTTAAGTATTTTTGTGTGGTGGTTAAGAAATATAAAGGGTGCATTAAGAAATTCTCTTGAGAAAAAGATGAAGATGAGCCTCCTTCGAACCAAAACATAATTTGCAAACAAGATTGTGAATATCTGAAATTATGCCCCTCTTTATAAGTTCGAATCTTGTTTGGAGCCTTTTTAAAATCAACCTCCACTGAACATTAGAAGGCACCTTTTATTTCCAAATACAATTCAAGGCCGACATCGTTAATAGAATTGATCTTGATAAATAGTTTATTTACCATTTATAACAAAAAAGAAAATATTAAAATAAATTTTTGTAAGTAATTTATATAATAAAAGATAAAATAAATTTTTAATCATTTTAAAAAAAAATCTATAAATCTTTAAAAAAAAATTATAAACTATTTTGACAATATCACAAAAATTATATAAAGTTTACATAAGATATGTGGTATTTGGATCGAACTCTTGTGTCAATAAGGGTAGTTTCATTGTTCGACAGGAGTTGTGTATGCTGTAGTCGAAGTCTGTTCGAGCATAATGTTGAAATATATTAACTTGTAATTTAAGTTAGTATGTCAAATTGGGTCTTGCTTATAAGCCCAATTTTTAAGTTAACTTGTATCCTAAGTTACTTAGTAGTCTATAAATAGACTAGTTCTCTCAGGTTGTTGAGAGAGGTTAATTATTGGTATTCACTTGTAATCTTTGAACCCTTATTGAAAAAAATGACTAGAAAAATATATTTAACCAATTCTTATTCTTCTTCTTTCCATTTTGTAAAACCTAATATGGTTTCTTGTGTTTGTTCAAGAAACTCAATCTTTTTTCTCATATTTTGCTTTGTTGTTGACGAAATCAATTCACAACAAACTGGTGTGGTGAGCGTAGAGGAGAAGATGATGTAAACAAAGTATGAGATTGAGAAATTCACCAGTGTGAATAATTTTAGTTTATGGCGTTTGAAGATGCAAGCCTTTCTTGTTTAACAGGGTTCATTAGAAGCGTTGAAATATTAGAGAAGATGGATGATGTCCTATCAAAGAAGGAGAAGATAACGATGGTCGAAAAATCCCACAGTGCCATTGTGTTGAGCCTTGGTGATAAGGTTCTCTGACATGTTTCAAAGGAGAAAACTCAACTGGTGAGTGGATGAAACTTAAAGGTTTATATATGACAAAACTGTTTGTTAATCGTCTCTACCTGAAGCAAGCTTTGTATTCGTTCAAGATGAGTGAGGACAAAGCCTTAGTTGAGCAACTGGATATGTTCAACAAGTTGATTCTTGATTTTGAGAATATTGAGGTCAAGATCGATGATGAAGTTAAGTGTTGGTGTTATTGTATTCTTTACTTAAGTCGGATGCTCACTTCAAAGAAACTCTCTTGTATGCAAGAGAGTTGTTGACCTTTGAAGATGTTCAATCGTCCTTGTACTCTAAGGATTTGAACAAACGAAAGGACCACAAGCCATGTTCTTTTGGTGAAGGTTTGTCTGTTAAGGGGAAATTCTTGAAGAAAGATGGTAGTTTTGAGAAGAAGAAGGGTAAAGTTCCACATAATTCTTATGGTGGTAATGCTCCTACTATTATGTGTTATCATTGTAACAAGGAGGGTCATACAAGAAAAGTATGCCCTGATCGACTGAACAATCATGGTGGAAAGGATAATGGTAATGCAACCATTGTGTAAGATGGTTATGAATCATCTGATGTCCTAGTGGTTTCAAGTAGTGACTCTAGCAAGGAGTAGATTATGGATTCAGGGTGTACTTGGCACATGACTCCAAACAAAGACGTGTTTAAGAAATTGTGTGATCAAGATGGTGGATTAGTGCTACTGAGAAATAACAAAACTTGCAAAATTGCAGGTATTAGATATGTGAGATTCAAGCTCTATGATGAGAATAAGGCTATTGACTGATGTTAGGTATGTACCTGATCTTAAGAGGAATTTGATTTTTTTTTGGTGAACTCAAAAAATAAAGGACATGTTTTCAAAGGAGAGAAAAACATCCTAAGGGTAATAAAGGGGTCGAAGGAAGTCTTGAGAGGCGTGAAGAAATAAGTCTTGTATACCCTTGAGGATGAGGTTATAAGTGGTTCAGCAGATGTGGCATCCACGAAACCTGTGTCAAAGACTGAGCTATGGCACAAGAGACTTGGCCATGTCAGTGAAAGAGGCATGGTCAAATTGTCGGAAAAAAATCTACTGGGTGGTGACAGGCTCGAAAAATTGGAGTTTTGTGAACCTTGTGTATTGGTAAATCCTATAGAATGAAGTTTAACAAAGGTAAACAAAGAACACATGGATCCCTTAATTACATTCATACTGATCTTTGGGGGCCTGCAAGGAATCCTTCACACTTAGGGGCAAAGTATTTTCTATCTATAGTTGATGATTACTTCATAAAGTTATGGGTATTCATCCAGAAGACTAAGGATTAAACTTTTGAAAAATTTCGAAATTTGGAAGACTCTGGTCGAAAACCAAACTGA